GAAGCAGCTTGAAGCTTGTTTCTTCTAGAGCAAATGATCCAGTCACAGAGATTTTCAAACAGAATCAGTGGCAGCTTCCAGCCCTTTGCCTGCAAAGAAACCATTATCTGCTCCCAGAAGCAGTCATTCAAATCGTAAAGGTATCCATATCTTCAGAAAACCATAGGTTCACCACTACCAATTGGCTGGTAATTCCAGCTAGTTTTGTTGATTTCATCATTTGATATCCTCTAAACCAATTTTGACAAGCAGCTGAAGCTTGGTCCTCTAAGATGATCACTGTTCAGGTCAAGGCTTACCTCTTCCTGGGCTGTGCTACTGCCAGCTCTAGAACTGTACTCCAGTGCTATCCCCAAATCTGGGGACACAGGGTAAGGCTCCAGAGCAGGAAATGCACAAGAGCGTCCACATCTACAAGTATAGTAAGACCATTCTATTAGTACTGTCCCTTAGAGCCTTACAGGACGGGCACTTATCTACAAACCCCAAATAACCTCCCTACTGTTAAAATATCTACTTAATAGCGTACCTTCAAAGGCTCGAGCCTGTTTTACTTACATCAAGAGAATAGAAATTATTTTAAAAATTACCAAAAAAATTACACTGATACAAAATGTCACCAAATAGGAATTCCACAATGGTTGCTGTATTGTATGTTGTCTTTCAATTAGTTATTCAGATTAACAGATTATAAGGTGAAGGCCTACATTCACAAATACTATGGTAATCAAATGAAATTGCCAGTATCTGACCAAACAGCTGGGTATTCTCAACCCAAGGCCAACACACTCCAACAGGCTTCGAGCAGAAGTTGGTGTACACAGGCCTCATGGGTGACTCAAGACATCTGTAACACTAAGCTTCTGCCACTCTGCAACCTGCATGAATGTAGAAAGGTTGTCACAGTTCAGACCAACTTAATCCTGAGCAGCAAGAGCATCTGGTGCACTGGGTGACTGCAGTCAGCCAGGAGCACTTTCCTCAGTTATCGCTTCTGATGGCACTTCCTGTGATTAGTGGGATCATCAGAGCAGTGAAAACACCTCATCACTGTCCAAAATCCTTCAACTGGAGACACGGACATTACCTGAGAACAAACTACAAGTGGAAGATGGAGCTCAGCATCAAGCTCCTGGAGTCTCGAGCCTCAGTACTACATGTATGCCCTCAAAATGAACCCCAAAACCCACTGGACAGCTCATTTCTGCAAATGACTTAGTTCATACATGTATAATGTGTGTACAAGAACACATGTGGGGCTGGAGAGGTAGCTCAGTAGAGTAAGCGCTTGCCTGGCAAGCACAAGGGCCTGAGTTCACTCCAGGGTTGCGCGGGGGAAAAAAAAAAAAAACATATACATGTGCTCTGGCTGTACTGGGGACTGAACCCAGGGCCTCCTGCACCCCAGGCCTGCTCTTATATCACTTAACTACATCTAATCAAAAAAAAAAAAGCACAGCTAATGTGGTTCTATGCCGACTGTAGCTTAAACAGCCATCCCCAGTTTCTACATCACTGCAAAGACAGCGGTGCGGACAAAAGCATGGCGGCTTAGGCAGAGCACAGCTGCCAGGTTCCATCACTGGCTTGCTGTGCTGCCTGCCCCACATGGCGTGGGAGGTGACTGAGACTGGGCGTGGTGGTGAGTGCCTGTAATCCCAGCTCTCAGCCCAGGGAGGCTGAAAGCAGGAGAATCAGAGTCTGATCTATGTAGTGAGACCCTGTACCAAATGCACAAAAAACTTATGTAGCGTTTAAACTACAACTAAAATATCCACTTCATTACATCGCAGATAACTAAATTATAGCTAAGTCATGCTCTTAGGCTGCTGGAAATTGAACCCAAGGCCTCCAATGTGCAAAAAACACCTCTAACTCTGACCTACATCTGCATCCCCCAAAGTCATATATTAAACGCACCCGGCTTCACGCTGGGATGCTGTTCTCATCTCCAATATTCTGCACTGAGTCAACATCTGAAAGATGAAGAAAAAGAACTCAGGAGTGGAACTGGCAGTAACATTCAACTACTCTGTTGAGGTTTTAGCTGACTGTAATCAGATCAAGTATAAATATCGTCAGTTATTGCTTTTTTTTTTTTTTTTTTTTGTGGAACCAGGGATTGAACTCAGGCCCTCGCACTTGCCAGGGAAGCACTTATTCCACTGAGCCATCTCCCCAGCTCCCAGTTATTGCTTTTGACGGTACTTCCTATTACTCATTCTCATCACAACAGTCGCGTGACTTCCTCGTGGTCCCATTACAATCCATCTATGGTAACGCCCTTGTGTTCTTCCCAGCTACGGGCAGGCGGTCCCCAACCTACCCAGCTTTTCAGGTTGGCAGACTCCTTGTGGAGGCTCTGGAAATAGTATGCTGCTTTCCACAAAGCCCAGACTCCAGCGGCTACCGCCCTGCCAAAATACGGGCAGTCCCTGAGGCTCAACTCCCAGCACTCTACACTGCGAGGCCTGGCCCTACCATAAGATTCAATGCAGGCCCAACCCGACCTGGACCCCCACCCCCACCCCCCTTTTTAGCTAACTTTCTCCAATGACACCTTTGTGAAGTAGAATAAATTTCTAGCTCTTCACTGACCATGCCGCCATCCTGTAGCAACAAACACAGATGACCCTATCATCATGATCACTGTAGTGAAAAGGTCGTGCCTTCCCGGACAGGAATCCACTGAGCTATCTGGTCGGCCCTTACTGCATTAGAATTGAGCCCCAAGCTTTGTCACTTCCCTCGACCCTTCTTTAGTTTTTGACACTGGGTCTCCTTGAACGGCTGGGATTGAACTTGCTATTCTCCTACTCCTATTTCCCAGGACGCTGGGATTACAGGAGTGGGCCACCATGTCAGTCTAAGATTAAGTATTTTTAAAAATAATAGGAGAAAAAAATGATAGGTGAAACCTGAATTTGTTCACATACTGGGAGGAAACCATCAGCAGGGATGGAGTTCTGATTTGTAAATAAGATATGCGGGTTTATGGAGAAGTCTGGGGAAGGGGGGATGGGGGCAGAGAGAAACATGATCTGTCAGAACAGAGAGGAAGGGGGCTGAAAGTGGACGCAGACAACTTTCAAGGTCAGTGTAAGGAAACAATGAAGGGTATCAGTGCACAGGGGTCAGAGGGGTTCCGGGCAAATTTTAAAACAGTTCTGGGGTGCCAGCAGAGGATCCCGACTCAATTTAGGAGCTGAATTTCAGGAAACTTGAATTTCGGGAAGCTTGCTGTGTCCAGGTTTTGCATTTCACATATACTGTCTCTTGTAATACTCACAACTACTTTCTGGGGCTTAGGTGCCCCGTTTTCCACACCAGCAATCCGAATTCTAAGCCCGAGGACCAGGATCTTGAAATACAAACTCAAGTCCTGGCGCAGGTGTCTTGGAAATAGCGGGGCGCTACCTTACCCAGAATTCTCATCGGTGTGGAAGAGACCACAAGTTCAGGAGTTGGGGGGTGGTGGGGTGGGAATCAGGATGAGGCCTAGATGGAGTTCCCGTGAGTTTCTGGCAGACTCCACCTCTCTGCTGGCCCCGCCCTGGGGCAGGCTGATGAGAGGGCAATTGAGACTGGGTGTGGTGGAGCACCTGTAATCCCAGCTCTTGGGAGGTTGTAAACAGGAGGATCACTACGAGTCTGATCTAGTAGTGAGACCCTGAACACCCTGTAGACTCTTCCCTAAAAAATTCCAATGCAGTAGTAGGAGGGGACTCCCTGGTATAGAGTCTAATTTTGTCCAGCTTGCTTGGGACTCTGGGTTCCATCATTATCTCTCTCTCTCTCCCTCTGTCTCTCTCTCTCTCTCTCTCTCTCTCTCTCTCTCTCACACACACACACACAGAAGAAAAAAAGAACAAAAACAAAAAAATCCATCTCTGTGTGCACATTTTGTACACAAACCCTATACTAAGGGACAGCAGTTCATTTTGGCTCCAGAGAAGTGCAAAGAGAACATTTTGAGGTAACTCATTTATCCCAGAAGTTGGAATTTTCTGAATTGTTCCATGAAATCATGTTACATAGAAAAATTCAAGGAACACGAATTTAAAGAGAAAGTGTTGCATTAAGTGCCACAGTTAGGTGCCCCTCCAAACTATAACAGTAGACATCAAGGGATTATTCGCAGAAAGAAGCAGGATTTGTCATATATATATAT